TTAAGGATTGGCACCTTTGGGGAGCGCGTGGGGAAGCGGGTACCCAAATTTGACAGGTACCCACTCCCACTTCTGCTACGATCGCCTAAGCGATCAGAAGCGGAAGTTGTCCTCCCCCATCCCACCCTGTAGTCTTCTGGGACACGTGACAGGTCCCAGAAGACTACAGGGCCATTCACAAAGTGCAGCGCTTCTTGTGTATGCGCAGTGGGCTCCTGGCTGTGAAGCCGCAAGCTGTCACAGCTGAGTGCCCACACTAAAGATGCCGGCACCAGGGAGAGAAGACGACCGGTGAAACCAGCGGTGGTGAGGACACCGCCGGACCGAGGGACAGGTAAGTGGCTGTATTTTAAAAGTCAGCAGCTACAGTTTTTGTAGCTGCTGACTTTTATTTTTTTTTTTCAGCTGGAACTCTGCTTTAAAGTGATTGGAAAGATTCCAATTTTTAAAAAAATATGTTATACTTACCTGCTATGTTTAAAGGTTTTGCACAAAGCAGCCCTGTCCCTTCTCTTCTCCAGCCCCCTGCTGGCGCTCCATTCCTCTCTCTCCTCTGCTGAGTTCCCCCAGGGCAATATGCCCCCCAAAGTAAAAAACCTTCAGGCTTTAGAACCTCTTTAATCCTAGATAAAACCATGAACAGGAGAAGAATGAACCAAAAGGAGTGCTAGCAAAGCTCTAAGGATTGAAGACAAGTCCAGTTTTTAAAAAAAAAAAAAAAAACTCTGACCGATGGAGGCCTCCTAAAACATAACACCAAATGAAGAAAAGCTAATTTCTTATTATACATGGCTTATAAAGCAGCAGACTTGCATCCTTACTGAATTGTATGCCATACCTTTATCCAAGCCCTTCTGTAGCAAATCAAATGTTCAATACCAAAGGAGAAATCGAGCTCCAGTACTCCACAGAAGACTTCTGTAAAAAAGGATTTCCAAAACATGATGGTTGCTGGAATTGGATTAGATTATTTTTGAGATGGTAACAAAGTTTAAATGCGAATAATGCCTATTGTCTCAACCATCTATTCTTAAAATCGAGGCCATTAAGTTCAATCCCCTGCAGTTCAGGGATGCTGGGCTAGGAAATCCCAGCAACACGATAGGGAAATCCGTAGATCCAGTTTCATTCTCCATAACAATGACTTCTCCAAAAACATGGACCTCTCCATTGATACTAGAGATTCACTATGGCTTGGATTCCCTTCTGCAGGATTTTGAGTAGGACTCAAACAATTACAGGTGGTCTACAATTAATTGTGGTCTACAAATCTTCTGCTCAAACTGTCCTCCACAATGTTCTGAATTCCCAGGAGGTACAAAGCCATCAAGGCCCACAAAAAGGTTTGAGAAGTGACCCACAGCAGATGAAGGCTCCTGGTTCCGCCCTGGAAAACCATAGAGTCCAATGTGAGGTTATCTGAGAGAATCTTCATTTTTAATAAATCAGTTGGTGGGAGGAATTTGCTTCCATTGACTCTGTGCTTGATGGCCCAAGAAAGGGGTTCCATAGCCCAACCATCTGGCATCCATCATGACCATAACCAGAGCAGGATCCCGGAGAAATTCCAAATGCTGGACTTCCTCAGGTCTACCTATTATGAGTCATGACAAGCAAAGAAAACAATTTGGACACAATCCCAGGGATTGGACTATCAGGCCAGGTATGACAATTCTGTGAATCAAAGAATGATGAAGTAAAATAAATTGAGACTTCCGCCATCACCAACTGGGTACCACCAGTTTCACTGTTGATACAGGATAACCACTATTGCCTGGATTCACTCCTCATGGATTTTGAGTAGGACTCAGAATTAGTGGGATCGGTGGAAAATCATACACCAGGTGATAACTCCAAGGCTTTATTATCTTGACCCAAAGTTTTTGGGTCCTGGAAATGAGAGAAACATAACTGGGTGTTCACAGCCAATGCCATCAAATCTATGGACTGAATTTTCATCAAAAATCTTGTGGTCTACAGATCTCCTGATCAAACTGTCCTCCACAATGTTCTGAATCCCTGGGAGGTACAAAGCCATCAAGGATAGAACATTCTGCTCTGCCCACAGACAGATCTGAGAAGTGACCCACAGAAGAGGAAGGCTCCAGGTTCCACCCTGGAAAATCATGTAGGCCACCATGGTTTTGTTGTCTGAGAATAAATTTACTTCACTTTTAATAGATTGGAGCTGGTACAAGGAATTTACTTTCATTGACCCTGCACTTGATGGCCCAAGCAATGGGCTCACCAGCCCAGCCATCTGGCAGCAATGACTATAACCAGGGCAGAAGGCTGGAGTGGAATTCCTGGAGACAGACTGTAGGAATTCAGCCACCATCTGAAAGACTGGGCTATCAATCCATGCATGACAATTCTTTGAATCAAGGAATGGTGACAAAAATGAACTGAGACTTCTGCCTTTACCACCTGTTCCACGGTACCACCATAATCATGGAAGATAACAGACCCCAATCAGCTGCAGCGAGAAGTGTTGCCATGAAGCGGAGAAAGCCAGGAACCCCACACCTCCACTGCATAACGTGACAGGCAAATCAAGAGCTGCCATGTTAAATGCTGACCTGCAGATGCTGAAACATTGCAAGGAGACCAGGAGAGAAGGTATCTTACAAAAAGGAAGAGGAAAAACAAATAACTGTCCAACAATGGGATTACATAGCCAGCCAGCATAGCAGTGGTCTATACTGCTGTGGTCATATATCCCAATCTGTAGTTACACAGCTGCAACAGTAGTTTATCCTGAAGGCATACAAGCAACCTGCATAGAAACATAGAAGAGTAACGGAAGTAAAAGGCAGAGTGGTCTATAGAGTCTGCCCATTTTTTGTTTGTTTTTTGGAGTTTTATTTTTTTTTGGGGGGGGGTTGTTTTGGTTTTTTTTAATCCATTTATTGTTGACCTGAGTACCACAGGTACCCATCATATGGAAGATTTATAACCCAAACAAAAGGTCCTTTTGCCTAGGAGAGTTTGAATCCAAAAAACACCAGTGTCCAGCGTGAGGATAGATAAAGAACAGTGGGTAGGGGGTCCAGTTTTAATTTATAAGATAGTTAGAGATGGTCCTGGAAAGGTCAGAAGGGTGGAGCTGAGCCCTAGTAGGTTGACATGAGGAGGTTCAGGAAAAATATATAATTCTATTATATTCTATTATGTTTAAAGATATTTTAAAACATTTAGAACTAAAACAGATTAACCTTATTTTCTTCTCAATTTCAGCATTTCTCCATATCCTCGTATGGATCATATTCCAGGTTATTGGTATGTTTTTGTAGAAATCAGTTTGCAAAACATCTGTTTTCAGCACCAGAACTTACAGCACCCAAAACAAATGAGAACAAATTGTGCTTAAGGCAGACCTCAGGGCAAAAACTTTTTTTTACATGTCCTTGTTGCTGATTTCCTACCTTCACTGAATATGTCATCCATCTTCTGGTTCACTCAGTAGTTGCTCTGCAATAGCCTATTCATTTTCAAATCAAACCGCCAATTCTCTTTGGTTTCCTGCTGGTAAGACCAATGGCTGCTATCCCTCCTATTCCCCTAGCCACTGGCACATCCCTTCTGTAGTTCTTTCTCCAGGAAGCAGTGATGTAATTCAGCTCCACTTGCAATGGTGGACGGACTAAGACTCATTCAACATGTACAGACCTAGTGTACCCACCCACATTCACTACAATTCCCTGTGGTTGCTAGGAACTGTAGTTTCCTTTTACTGTACAGAGAGTGGAGAGGATGTGATGTAATCCCTGCTGTTACACCTCCTCCTTGGCAGAGTAAATGCTGTTATCTTTTGAATCACAGAGGTGAGGTCATCAAAATCCAATTAGACTTTTCTCCTAAATGGTAAGCATTTTCAAAATTGTATTAACCGTTTAGGATTTTGTGTTTGGGGGTGTACCTAATGGGTGATTTTTTTTTGCCTATCCCGAAGTTCTTCTTTAAGCATCTTCCTGACCTCTAACTTGTTTGTATTTTTTAAAGCAGAACTAAAGTCCGCAATATCTGCTTCTACAGTCCAAGGTCCCTTGCCGGCACTTGCATCATCTTCTCGGCTTCTTCTAATTGCATGCACAGCTCAGCTTACATTCTACAGATAACTGCAAAGAAGCAGGTAGGTTTATTTTATTGCAGAAAATATATTGCATGTCTCTTCTGCAATAAAGAGCCTACCTGCTTGCAGTTTACTTTTATTTAAGACTTCAGATAAAATGCTGATCCTTAAACCCTCACCTGACCCTATCACTTAAATTGAACCCTTAGCCTAAAACATAACATACGTAACCTGAATCTTTAACCTATGGTTAAAAGTTATCACTTAACCCTGAAACTTAACCCTTGACCTAATTTTTAAATAAGATGAACCCTTCACTTTAAAGTAAACTGCACAGTCCACTTATTACATCACATACCCATAGCCCCTCCCTCTTTCCTCCTCATCTGTCCCTTTTGGTCTGATATATAGTTGTATATAACATGCACTACTTATCTATCAATATGTGTTTTACAGTGCTAAACCTTTCATCCAATTTCTAAATTTCTGCATTTGTAAATTCCAAAAGCCAATATAAAGCAATCATAGTGGTAAAAAAAAGCACTTGTGGGTTTAACCAATCAATTTGTTTGTACAATTCTCCTTTAGGAGGGGCGTGACTGGGGGTTTATCCTATGCCTACGTACTTTTGCTAATAGGTGTCCCTCATTCCCATCTCAAAAAGTGGAATGGGGAAACAATAGTCACTCCCTCTATTCTCCTGAAGTCCCCCTCCCACCCATTGTGGGTTATATACTCTTTTGCATACTTACCCTTATCAGAAGATTTCAGGCTGAACATGTATGCTGGGTGGTCCTTAACCACCTTCCACCCGCCATATAGTACAATGACGGGCACAAGGTGGTTCTCTCGTTCTGATAGGACATCATATGACGTCCTTCCATTCTCACCGCGCATGCGCGGCTCAGGGAGCGTGCAGCGCGGCGATCGCTGGTGCGCTGTGTCCCTCGGACACAGCGGATCACGGAAACAGCTGAAGATGTCGGCTCGGTCATGTGATCAGCTGTGTCCAATCACAGCTGATCACATGTAAACACGGAAATGCCGGTTATCGGCATTTCTCTCCTCCCGAGTTGTCACGCTGACAGAGGAGAGGAGAGCCGGTAATCGGCTTTCCGCGGAGGGGACATGTACACTGATCATCAGGGCACTGATGATCAGTGTGCCCTGATGATCAGTGTGGCCCCAGAAGTGCCATCTGTCAGTGTCCATCAGTGCCAGCAGTCAGTGCTCATCAGTGCCACGTGCCAGTGCCCATCAGTGCCACATCAATGCCACATATCAGTGCATATCAGTGCACATCAATGCCACATATTAGTGCCCATCTGAGCTGCCTTTCAATGTCACCCATCAGTGCCAGTCAGTGCCACCTATCAATGCCAATCAGTGCCACCTATCAGTGCTGCCAATCCGTGCCACCTAACAGTGCGCATCAGTGCCGCCTATCAGTGCGCATCAGTGCCGTCTATCGGTGCCAGTCAGTGCCGCGTATCAGTGCCAGTCAGTGCCGCCTATCAGTGCCATATATCAGTGTCATGTATCAGTGCTGCCTTTCAGTGCCCATCAGTGATGCCTGTCAATACCCATCAGTGCAACCTACCAGTGCCTCCTCATCAGTGCCCATCAGTGCCACCTATCAGTGTCCATCAGGTCAGCCTATCAGTGCCATCACTGCAGCCTCATTAGCGCACATCAGTGAAGGAGAAAAATCACTTATTTACAAAATTGTATAACAAAAACTAAGAATAAACTTTTTTTTTCAAATTTTCTGTGGTTTTTGGTTTGTTTAGGAAAAAATAAAAATCCAAGGGGTGATTAAATACCACCAAAAAAAAGCTCTATCTGTCACAAAAAAATGATAAAAATGTCATATGGGTACAGTGTTGCATGACCGCGCAATTGTCATTCAACATGTGACAGCGCTGAAAGCTGGAAATTGGCCTTGGCAGGAAGGGGGTATAAGTGCCCGGTAGGCGAGGGGTTAAAGTGGTTCTACAGTCAAAACATTTTGTATCTTAATGCATTCTGTGCATTAAGGTAAAAAACAGTCCAGTATCTGTCTTAGCTCCCCTTCCCCCACCTCTAAACGCTTACCTGCAGGCCCTGACTGGAACAAAAAATAGGCTCCAGCAATTTGAACTGAGCAGCCCCAAGCCCATAGAGTTCTCGGAGTCCGGTGATGGAATGCCAGGGCCCGGGCGCAAGAGCGACCTTTGTGACCCAGGTAGTGTCCTCACTAGTGTCAGTAGGTTTTTATCTTTATTTTATTTTTTCCAATTTTATTTATTTATTTTTTTTACTTGTTTTTGTAGGGGTCCCATTGGGGGGCTTTGGTGAAAGGGAAAGAAGAGAAGAGAGAAAGAAAGAGAAGACAGAGATAGAGAGAAAAAGAAAAAGAGAGGAGAGCGAGAAAGAGAGAGAGGAGAGCGAGAAAGAGAGAGAGGAGAGCGAGAAAGAGAGGAGAGCGAGAAAGAGAAAGAGAGGAGAGCGAGAAAGAGAAAGAGAGGAGAGCGAGAAAGAGAGAGAAGCGAGAAAGAGAGGAGAGCGAGAAAGAGAGGAGAGCGAGAAAGAGAGGAGAGCGAGAAAGAGAAAGAGAGGAGAGCGAGAAAGAGAGGAGAGCGAGAAAGAGAGGAGAGCGCGAGAGGAGAGCGAGAAAGAGAGAGAGAGAGGAGAGCGAGAAAGAGAGAGAGAGAGGAGAGCAAGAGAGAGAGAGAGGAGAGCAAGAGAGAGAGAGGAGGAGAGCGAGAGAGAGAGAGAGGAGAGCGAGAGAGAGAGAGGAGAGCGAGAGAGAGAGAGAGGAGAGCAAGAGAGAGAGAGAGAGAGAGAGAGACAGAGAAGAGAGAGAGAGGAGAGCGAGAAAGAGAGAGGAGAGCGAGAAAGAGAGAGAGAGGGGAGAGTGAGAAAGAGAGAGAGGGGGGGGGAGCGAGAAAGAGAGAGAGGGGAAGAGCGAGAAAGAGAGAGAGAGAGAGGAGAGCGAGAAAGAGAGAGGAGACACAAGACTGCTGTGGAGTGTGGGTGGGGCAGATACTGGAGGAGAGGACGGGAGGAAGGACAGAACCAGCATTTGCTCTCCTCTCCCATTTGTGGTGGTGGGGGAACTCTCAGCACGGGGGACAGTCTATCCTAACAGATACTCCACAGCAGCTGCAGAGAGGGGGGAACCCGGCAGCATCGCTGCAGGAGATGAGGGGAGGGCAGCCACGGGGGAGCATACAGGAGCCCACAGCAGCAGGAGATGGATAGGAGTGGTAGCCTAGCAGCATATAGAGGAACCGAACCGAGTACTTCTCACCTATTGCCAATAAGTGCCTGCAGGAGGGAGAGGAAAAGAAGCAGACATTCAGTGGCTGCTGGAGAGAAAAGCACGGTCCGGCTCCTCTAAGTGCCACCTGGCTGCCCCTCCTATCAAGGTGGCCCCAGCCCACCAGGCAAATGCCCGGTGTGCCCTATGGCCAGTCTGGGCCTGGTTACCTGGCTCCTTCCATGGATCCAGTGCTGTTCCATCTGCAGCACTGCTTCTCCACTTCCTGGTCTCACAAGAGACTCAAGCAGCAACGAGAACCATAAGCTCCTGCTGCTGTCAGTCAAACTCCTGTGAAGAGGGTGCGGGGTCATGATTTACTATGCACACACGAACCAGCTCAAGTGTGCACCCAAACAGGTGCCCCATTAGCACACGGCTTGCTGAGGTGGCAACCGTAAGAAGGAGGAGTGGACAGCACAGGCAGGGGTATCCAGGAGAGGAGGGACCACTCCTTGCACAGAGCAGGTAAATATATTACCTTTTTTTTTTTTTTTTATTTTAAAGCAAAAAATGATATATCCTTTAGTATCACTTTAATGATGCAGAAAGTGGCACTGACTTGAAGATGCAATTACCGCTGTCTGCATTACATCACTGTGAGTGATGGGTACCAAGGTGACCGCCCCTCAAGGGTCGAGTCCATGACACCGTGCACTGAAAGTATATCCTAAGTCTTTATAGTGAGCAGAAGAAATGTTCTAAATTAATTTCCGTTAATACACTTACCAGCCATATCCAGTCATACCCCATGACAGAAAACATCTTTGTAAATAATTATTATTATACAAATTGATGGTTAGGCTACAAAAGCTGCAAAAATATATAACAAATGGGCAATAAAATTAGCAAAAAAATGCAAACAATGTTTTTATAAAAGGGGAAATACACAATGTTGCCAAAAGTATTGGCATTGGCAATCATTGGATTCAGGTGTTCCAAACACCTCCGTTGCCACATATGTATAAAGCCCTAGGCATGCAGACGGCTTCTACAAACATTTGTGAAAGAATGGGTCGCTCTCAGGAGCTGTGAATTCAAGTGTGGTATCGTGTTAGGTGGCCACCTGTGCAATAAGTCCATCCGTGAAATTTCCTTGCTACTACATATTCCATGGTCAACTGTTAGTGGTATTAGAACAAAGTGGAAGCAATTAGGAACAAAAACTCAGCCATGAAGTGGTAGGTCACGTAAAATGACAGAGCGGGGTCAGCGCATGCTGAATCGCACAGTGCACAGGAGTCGCCAACTGTCAATAGCTAAAGACCTCCAAACTTCATGTGGCCTTCAGATTAGCACAACTGCAGTGCATAGAGAGCTTCATGGAATGGGTTTTCCATGGCCGAGCAGCTTCATCCAAACCTTACATCACCAAGTGCAATGCAAAGCGCCGGATGCCGTGGTGTAAAGCACGCTGCCACTGGACTCTAGAGCAATGGAGACGTGTTCTCTGGAGTGATGAATCACGCTTCTCTGTCTGGCAATCCGATGGACGGGTCTGGGTTTGGTGGTTGCCAGGGGATCGGTACTTGCCTGACTGCATTATGACAAGTGTAACATTTTGGAGGATGGGGGGATTATGGTGTGAGGTTGTTTGTCAGGAGTTGGACTTGGCCCCCTAGTTCCAGTGAAGGGAACTCTTAAGGTGTCAGCATACCAAGACATTTTGGACTATTTCATGCTCCCAACCTTGTGGGAACAGTTTGAGGACGACCCCTTCCTGTTCCAACATGACTGCACACCAGTGTACAAAGCAAGGTCCATAATGACATGGATGAGCGAGTTTGGGGTGGAGGAACTTGACTGGCCTGTCCTGACCTCAACCCAACAGAACATCTTTGGGATGAATTAGAGCGGAGACTGCGAGCCAGGCCTCCTCCCCCGACATCAGTGCCTGACCTCACAAATGCGCTTCTGGAAGAATGGTCCAACCTTCCCATAGACACCCTCCTAAACCTTGTGGACGGCCTTCCCAGAAGAGTTGAAGCTGTTATAGCTGCAAAGGGCGGGCCAACTCAATATTGAACCCTACGGACTAAGACTGGGATGCCAATAAAGTTCATGTGCGTGTAAAGGCAGACTTCCCAATACTTTTGGCAATATGGTATATGATTGGTTGTTGCTGGCTCACAGCATAATATTACCGTTCTGCTCCTTTGTTAGATAATCTTAATGGTGTGTCAGGCAATGGAGACGCAATAAGCAGCTTCTCCATACATTTCACTCATCCTTTACCCTTTTATTAAAACCAGTACAAAAAAAATCAGTACAAATAAGTAGAGAAACAAATATAAAGCCAGGCAATTGTGGAGGAAATAATTTAAAGCACAACTGATATTTCAAACGTGTATTTGTTTATAGTGCTGTACCCCCAACATATAATATTATTTACCACTGATATGTGTTTGGAAATGCCTTAAAATACCATTTTCTGTCAGTGAAAATGCCAGTTTGGGCCTTCCCACTTAAGTGCTATGTACTGAGAGAACTGAGCAACAGCTACACCCCTAATCACAAGTGTGTTCACGTAGCCTTGCATCGCAAAGAAAGAGAGGGGTGTGTCAGACCAGTTCTGTTACTGATTGCTGATTACTGAGAGCACTGGCTTTAACCCTGGTGTGAATTGAACTGTACACTCATATATATACACCCTGTACAACTGCTTTCACAGGAAAATGGTGGTAATGCAAAAAGAATGTTAGTAAAACATCTAGTGTATTTGACTGCATATCTATTTCTGTAACTTTGGACTTAAACGTTGTTCTTTTATTTCATCTAAACAGTGGTTTTACTGGCTCTGTGGATACTGAAGACATTGACAATCCGCGGGAAGTCTTCACACCTTTTACCAAAGTTCGAACCTTGCAGCCTCGATACACAGAGACAGCACAGTATGTCTGTTTGCTCCCCTTATTTTATTGTGCATTGATAACAACTGAAGATTTCAGTTATACATTAAAAAATGTGTGTTGTCGGTGTATTTGTTAGCCTATAGCTGTATGCCTCAAAGGACAATTTGATAAATCCCAGAACGCGCTCTCCTGCGCGTCCCCGGGGGCGCACAGCCGGCGATCTCCGTGATCGCTGTGTATTACGGACACA